GGGGGGGGGGGGGGGGGGGGGTGTACGTCTTTAGTTCCGATGGTGCTTCTTTTTTTGTTTGTTTGTTGTTTCCTTCATGATCTTGAGTGCTTCGGGGCAAGGGTCGACCCGCCCCACCGCCAGAAGATGGAGAAGGAGAATGAGAATGCTGCTTGCGGCAAGGCAGGCGTGCTTTGCATGCAAGCGTGAGATACGATACCTGGGGGTGCAGGAATCTGCTGTCTCCTCTCCGTGACGCTGTTGTCTAAAGCGCCGATAATTCGAGGAGCCTTCTGTTCTAAATAGGGGAACAACGTTGAGACCGAAGGGCACCTCGCGTGCATTGAGCCGTGACCGCAACTACCGCTGTCCACGGACACGCTCGTCTCGTTGGCTGCCAAGCCTTGGGTGCGCCCCGCCCCTTGTTTCTTATGGGCCATTCGCTATGCACGCGTGTGGGGGTGCTTGCGTCTATTTTTTGGAGTGGTCGAATGTGGTTTTTTACGTTTTGTTTCCTCCGCATTCCGCCGCATCCCCCGTTGCATTGTCCTCCAGACGCGGAGTGGGCGAGGATAGCACTGGGTCTCAGCCGTTTCCCGGGACCGGAGTGCTCGAGGGGGAACATCGCCAACGTTGTCGCGGGAGTCACTGCCGAGGCTGGCCTCAGCAAGGTCCAGGTGACTCTTTTTTTTTTTTTTTCTTACAAAATTAACAAGCAAATATTCATATTTTCATATTTCCCACACATAAAAGAGCCCGGGACAAACCAGCAATGAAGTCAATTTTTTTTGTTTAGTTTTGTCATTATTTAGGCGTTTTTCCGACTGCGAGGTGCGTAGACATATGTATTAGCATCACTGCGGCCGAAGTTTGGCAACAACGATATCCCCCCCCCCCGCACACACACACGTCTCCGTGTTGTTATATATACCAGTATCCCCACCTTAACGAAATCTGCCATGTTTCGTTGGACGCACAGACAAGAGCTATCCGGCAGGCGCTGGAGAGTCGTCTGACGCTGATCCAGGGTCCTCCTGGGACGGGGAAGACGAAGACGGCGTGCAACCTCATACTGTCGGCGGTCAGGCTCCGCCAGAGCAAGGGGGGCGCTCGACGGGACGGGAAGGTACTGCTGCTGTCGCGGGGGTATTGCTGTGTTTCTGGTGTCGGTGCTGTTGTTACTGCTGTTCCTGCTGCTGTGCTGTTGTCGTTGTTGCTATCTGTTGTTGTTCTCGCTGTTGGTACAGCAATGTTTTTCGTTGGTTATCCACATGCTGCTTTTTCTTGTGTGTTTTCCGCGGAGACAAGCCTTAATCATAGCTAGGGAGGGGTGCGAAGACTCGCCGATTCTGCCCTTATTTTTTTTGCCGCTTGTTGTTTGGGGTCTGTATGCGTATGTGGTCATGGCGTTGTTGATGCAGCAGCTGAAGCGCACCCTTTTGGTCAAACACCCTTAAGCCTCCCGTGCGGCAGCTAGGCAGCTTCAGACAACGCAATATGCCGAGAATTCCCTCCCGCCCCCCCGCCCCCCCCCCCCAAATTGCCCCCCACTCGCT